GCAAAAGACCGCCTCACGACCGCCAGCATCTGGTTGGCCTTGGAGATCGCTTCCGCGGTCTGCACGTGGAACTGGAGCCGGTAATCCACGAAGATCCCGAGGTCCTTTTCGGTGGACTCGACCGCGATTTCGGCACCGTCCAAGAAGTACGTCAGCCTCGGGTTGCAGTTCCCGATGTGCATTATTTTGCACTTTGCTGCACTAAAGGGGAGCAGCCACTCCTTTGACCACTTGGCCAGGGCGTCGAGGTCAGCCTGCAGAGGTGAGTGAGTCAGGGGTCTCGGGACACGACAGTAGACCTTGGTGTCATCCGCAAACATCTTGACCACGCTTCGCACTTGCTCTGGTAGATCGTTCATCGTTTGCATATATGTACACGTGCATATATGCAAACGTACGCACACGCGCAGATACACATCAATAATTACCATCATGAAACGTCCCAACCACAAGGGCGGTGCAAGTAAGTAGCAAGGCAAGCATTCCTGCTATGCATTGGTGTTTACCCGCCAAACGCCAAACGCCGAAACGCCAAAAAGCATTAAAGTGGTTTTATTGCAGTGCTTTGAGTTCCCTGGATTTTGGCATACACTCACCAGATATACCCATGATTTTTTATGAAACGGACTAAGAGACGGAACTTACCCTTTGCTGGCCACCTGACCAAAGATGTTTCCTTGTAATCGCTTTACTGAGCATCCAGCGCGAAATCAGGCGCGATAACGAGGCTCCAACATAATTACACCACTGCTCGATAGCTAAACTGCGCTACTGGCGTGCAGAAGTGAATTATTTTGCGTTTAGAGTACGTCAAACGAATTTTTTTAATTAAACTAACCCTCTTTTAGCTGTTTCAGTAGCTGTGAAAGTGTATTGCAATTTCTAGCCGTGTATTTGACTGACATCCTATTTCACCGTATTTGATGGTCGAGCACCAAACGGTCTGTCTACAATTCTGCCGCACTTTTGTTTGTTTGGCTTTCCCTGCATGGTGTGCGGACCTGGGTCTGCAGAACGTATGCGAGCTGAGAGTGGGTGGGAGCGAAGGTTCGAGGTAGGGGTCGTCATAGCATCCGTGTATGAGGTGTGCATAAACTTGCCAGTTGATCAGAGATGGTATGCCATGTTTCAGAAGCCTTTTGCACGAAGTATAGTTCCATGGGGTACAAGGACATTGACAAGAGTGACGATAGTCAGAATCAGTGATATACTTCCCAAACTGAAAAACTAAATCCATGCGTAAGTTCGGCATCTACTGACGTAGTTATGGAGGCCTTTGGATTTTGTTGTAAATGTGACTTAAGGCCTCCCTTAGGTCAGTATTATGCAAATTACACAAACAGTGTGTAGTATGCTTTGCAAGTAATATTGCTCATTTCTTTTGAAATTGGGCCCCAATAGGCAGCAGGCAACACCTCACCTGGCCAGTCCAGCATCCTATTAAAGAGTTTTTGTGAACATTTAAACATGTATAATTTTGCCATTTTTAATGATGAGACATTGCACCAGCTGTGATATACCTCAGGTAAAATGCTAATCATATGCATCATGCAAGATGTGTTGGGTGTAGCAGTGGGCACTGCGGAAACAATCTCAGTGTATTTACATTGTAAACTGAAGGTTTAGAGTTCTTTGATCTCACCAATCCCATCACTCCAAATTGGTTGACACCAATCTCAGCACATGGTGTGATTGTGTTTCAAGTAATAGTAATCTGCTAAGCTAGCATCAGGAAAGAAACAGTCCCAAAATATTTGCAATTTAGAGATGGTGTGGGAATCCAGGGTGGCCTGGCCGGAGTTGGGTGCATATGAGTGCAAGGTTTAGTGCACTTATATAGTGTAAATATCTGGCCATGTGGACTGATTGTTGCAGGATGGCCTTGATGGTAATTAGTGTTTTTAGGGCATGCTGACAAGGCAGGCTGCCTTTAAGGGGTCACTCATCTTGTTTTTTGCTGTTAATTGTGCTAAGTTCTGTATTATACCTACAGAAAGAAGCATGGCAAAAGAATGATAAAGGAACAATATGCATGTGACATGTCTAGAGTGCTAAATTGCATAGGTCCCTGCCCTCTCTACCACTGATTACCTATAGAAATATTCATATACATATATTTATTAAAATATAAAATAGGTGGTTTTGATAGAAAAGAACTCAATCTGGTTGCATCATAAACTTGTTAGCAATTAGCAATATCAATACAAATTCTGTTTTTTTAGAATTCCACATCATTAATTCCATTATTATTCCATTATTCCATACCAGCATTTGATACCATGCTATTCCATATATTGGTGCTGAATATCTGCATTTTCTGTCACATTAATGGTAGTATTGCTATTGTGCACTAATGCTGATATACCTTCAGCCTAAAGTTGTGCTCTCTTTTATTTTCTATTTTATTACATGGAAACATGTCCACACTCTTTCATGAAAATTGTATATTGCAGGTGCATGGAACTCCAAACACATTGCTGCACCAGCACCTGCACTAAAAGATAACACCTTTTTGAAAAATATGTTGCATGTGGAGGATTTGTAAAAATTGCACATATGGTTAGGTACTTAAGAATATTTTCCAGTCATCAAACTGCAATACTTCTCATAAAAAGCAATGTTATATAACAATATTTAGATGAGGCATTAACAACTTTAGTACATAATAAGTTACATTGTCACCTGTCTGTTTGGGCTAAAAATTAGCTAAATCACCTGCCGCCTGTTTGTTTAAGAAAACACAGTTGTATCATTTCAATCTGCATGTAATGAAAGCTGACCTGATTCACAGGACTAGTATGTTCAGATACTCTGCATTCCAGCATAGTCATGAGGGATTTTGACATTCTGTTAAGATTAGAGGCATCACTTTTAAGAGCATTGTAATACATTAAGGCAGACAAGTTATCTTCCAGTTATATGATAAACTGTGACAAGCTTTCCTGATTCATTTGACATCTCATTTTGTGCCTGAACAAACCTGTCCAAATCACAGTAATGATAACAAATTGAGAAATTAGTGTGGGTGCTTTGAGAGGAGAGGATAGTCATAGTGCTTTCATTCATGACATTGTTTTGGTCTATGGTGGTGAAACATTTGGCAAGGCATGCAAGTGTCAGTATTTCACTTGTTCAAAATTGGTGATGATGGAAACATTCATTGGAATCAAAATATCCATTTGTTCTGGGACCAACATGATTAGAGACTAGTACATCCAAGTCTTGAAAAGTTAAGCAGGTGCATTGTCATGTATGGTGTTGATAAAATTGGCATTGATTGGTTTGTGTATGTTTTTGTTTTTGTTTAGTGAATTGTTGAATATGCACACAATGAAATCATTTCATTGAAATATTCTGCACTGGTTCCAGATCAGTCAGTCAACTGCAATCATGGAGAACATCATGACATTGTCAGCAGAAGACCTAGCAAATGCTAACACTTTTCAGATTAATGGTAAGTACACTTTATTTCCATCTTGCTTTCAGAATATTGCATGGTCCCAACTCCTTTTTGGAAGTGCCTACATCAGTATAAGTGCTCCAAGGATGTCAGGACCCAGAGAACCCCCTAGACGCCCTTGGTGGGGGCTGGCCCCAGTACTATCTGATGTCAGTATAAGGTGTGTCATAATGCATGGTAAGTGAGCTCAAACAGTCCAAATTATTATCTGGATTTTTCAGTGATGAGGACATTGATGCCCCAGCATGATATTTTGTTAGTTTAGTATGTTCATAGCTGTCCCCATGTTCTGGGTCCCCTAACTGCCTCAAGCAGATAATATCCCAGCCATTTATGACATGTTTGCCACATGCATAATGAGCATCTGTGTGATTTAGATAAACATGTTGCACCCTACTTCCAAACAGCAGTGTTTGGATGGCTGTTGGAGGGATTATATGTATATATATATATATATATAATATATATATATATATATATGTATGTATGTATATATACATATATATGTATATATATACATATATATATATATATACACATATATAATATATATATATATATATAATATATATATATATATATATATATATATATATTATATGTATATATTGAAGGCCTTGGAAATATGTTGTCATATTGCTCTGTAAAAGATGGTGTAGTTCATCCTTGTAACATTATCTATGCAATTGGCAGTGAATGATGATGGAACTGCATCAGCTGTTGGGAATGCCAATCAGTGTGGTGCCAGCAGAGGGCAGCTATGTCCCTCAACAGCTGGGAAGATGGCTCTACAGTACTACTGGATGCCGTAAGTCACAGCTGAAAGATCCAGCAATGTTTTGAATGTGGCATGTGTTGACAGGTTGTTGCATGCCACTGGGAAGTAGGTGGCAAATAGTCCTGTGGTTATGAGTTTTCACTCCCTTTTGTGACCAGATTTGATCAGTGCCAGTGTTGTTGCACATGTCTAGGTTTGTGCTGGGATATTGCTTTTTTCTTCACTTTCTGTGAATTATCGCCCATGTAATAAATGTTGACCTGTTTAGATGCACAGGCATACCTGATGATATCTGGGATAATAATTGTGGAGCCTGCATGCACTCAGGGGAGCCCCCACTATGTTTCGCTCTGACAACTCTTCCAAAACATGATGCTTTAATCCCTTGTTTTTGCACTCTGGTAGCAGTTAGCCAGCGGGCTGGCGAACGCCCGCCCTCACGCAGCGTTTCTCCCCGCCGCCCACAGATGGCCTTCCTGAACCAGATGGGTGGCCAGGTAGTGCTCTCCAGCGGCGGCGCGCTCGGGCCCGACATCATGGCGCACGGCATCTTCTCGGCCGACCCGGAGGCCGAGCACGATGGCCAGCCAGCGCCCATACAGGTGAGGAGGCTGCTGCCGGCGGGCGGCGGCGTCTCGTCCTCCCCTCTCCCTCCTCCTGGTGATGCGGCCGGCTGGGGCGCGCTCGCGGCGGCTCCGCTCGCGTTGACGGGTCCGCGGCAGGGCTCTCACACACGCGTGATGGGGTTCTGGTGTGGGCACCATGTGGGTGTGGGCCGAGCAAGTGCGTTGCTGCTTCGCCGCGTGTTGGGGCTGGGTTGGTTCGGCGCCGATGACTGGCCAGCGCCGAAGCTGGTGTAGTCTGCTTTGCTGTAGTGTCAGACACTGAGCTGCTACTTGTATTGCTACTGGTTCGACTATTGCAGCGGGAGTTAGAGCTGGCGCTGTCACCCGGTCTGCTGTTCTGTCAGGTGTCTGGAGCAGGTGCCCGAGTCGCTGGAGCCTGGTGTCGGCGGCGCTGGGGCCGGTCTCGGAGGCGCTGGTGTCGGAGGCGCTGGGGCCGGTGTCGGCTGGCACTGGAGCCGGTCTCGGAGGCGCTGCCGTCGGTGGAGTCACTGCTGGCAGACACGCCCGGCCTGGGGCAGGAGCAGAGCCCGCCGCCGCCGGCGCGCGCCCGGCGCCGCGTGCCGCGACTCTTCCCCTTCGAGCCGGACCCGGAGCCGCCTGGACCGGTACGGAGCGCCGGCCGCCTCTAGTGCCCACGGCCGGCGACGCCGCTGGGACCGCCCGCCCCGGCACGACGGGCTCGGGCCAGTGTGGCGGGAACACCGCGTGGTGGGGCGGGGGCCCGCACTGCAGTCCTGTAAAGTATTTGGCGTCATGGCCATGCTCCCACCCGATACGTCTCGGATACTTTTTACGGAAGTTTATGGGTATCCGTACTGCCCGTATATGGTTATTCCGCGTCGGCCCCTGACTCGGGCAGTGGTGCATCCTGCTACATTAGTTGTCCCGGCGCACGTCTGCGCTACCACATCGCCCACGGAGGCTGGGAGTCGCGCCATCTGTTGGGATGCCGAGTGGTATGTTGGTATGAGTGTGTCGAGGCCCGACGGACTGGGTCAGCTGGGCAGTGTGCCTGCCGACAGCTGGAGCATACCAGCGGCTGACATCGTGTTATCACTTGGCAACATTGTACACCAGTTAAGTGCCAAGGATGGGGATTCTGTATGGCCATCAGGTAATGCCTTGCATTTTTGAGGGGTGATGGTATTTTGCATTTTTGTACCATATTGACAGTGTGTTTACTCGATTGTATGACAACGTGTGCAGCCATTTGTGGTGTACTGCAGAGGTCTTGACAGCAAACCCGCACCGTTTCAGGCCCCTTGGCGCTGTCAGAAGTGCGGAAAAACGCTCATATCTGGAAACGCTACACTCAACCACATCAAGTCCCACGACTATGAGAAACCATTCAAGTGTGATAAATGTCCAGAGGCTTTTCAACTTCCAGGTCAGTGCGGCCGTTCCCCCTCGTGCCACTTACACGTTTGGCTGTTCGAACCCCATCTGATGTTGTGTGCACCTGGGATGTAATTGGGCATATTCGTGACGTGCGCCTGAAGTCGACATCTTCGTAGATGAACACGAGGGGTAAATGTAGGTCACCTGCCTGCGGTTGTTCACCTAAAACGGCGAGGCCCTCCCGAAGTCTGTGACGCCGTGTCGTCGGACGTCGCGAGCGTCGTGCCTACACACCGCCCCGACACGCCGCCCCTGACACGCTGCCCCTGACACGCTGCCCCTGACACGCCGCCCCTGATGCGTCTGCCTGGCACGCCGTCCCTGACACGTCGCCCCTGCAGCTGCCGCCCTGACACGGCCGCCTTTGACGCGCCTGCTGCCGCCCGGTGCCCCGCAGAAGAACTGGGAGCTGCACGACCGTGAGCCACGCGGTCCGACCCAACGGACCCTGCCCGGGACTGCGGCCGGTCCTTCCGGCAGCGTGGCCTATCGCTGCGCGCCCCCCTGGCCCTGCACGAGGATGGGACGAGGCGATTGTAGCTGCTACGCTAGTGCCAGCACGAGTTCCTCCACTCATGTGCTGTCGGCGGCGGCGCTACCGTGTGCTGTGTTTCGTTCGACCCGAAGTGGAAGCCCTGCCGTGTCGGCACGGGTTGTTGGGCGTCGCGTAGCACTTTGCCACTTCTACGAGGGGCGGGGAGGGGGGTGGAGGATGTAACTAGCGGTTGCGATTAGCGATTAGGTTAGCGATTGCCAGGTTGGGCTTTGAGATGGCCAGATGATTTCATTGCACTTTCGGTTTGGCCCGCTGTTCTTGGAGGAGGTTAGAAGATTGTTTGGTAGAATGGGGACGGGCTACTGGGGTAGCAGAATGACCTGATGTTTTCTTGGTCGTCGATCAGCGCGGAGGGCACTCTGTGCCAACCTGAGAGGATCATCTGTTCGATGTTGTGGCTTGCTTGTTAGCAATCGCTCAACCTATCAGTTCGTGCCCGTGGGGGTTTTCTAAGCTTATGCCTTCAGTGAAGAGTTGAGAATCACCTGATGTCCTCCAGTTCTTCGTCGAGAGTAGTGACAACAGTTCATCCGCGGCGCAGTAGGGAGTAGTGATAACGGGTCAACTCTTAGGAGTGATGAGTACAGGTCATCTGTGTTGGAAGTGATGACAGTGGGTCGTCTGTGTTTGGGAGTACTGGCTACAGCTCACCTGCCTTGGGAGTGAGCTCTGCAGGCCACGTGTGTTGGGCGTGATGACCTGGGTCGCCGGTGTGTGAGACTGTGACAGCGGGCCGTAGCGGTCGTGGTGGCAACAGCGGGCCCTCCATGTGGGGGGCGATGCCGGCCGTCACGCGCCGCGAGGTCGCCAGCGGCGCACAGCTGACCCGCCGGCCGGATGTCCGCCGCAGGTACTGCTGGACAAACACCTGCCAGTGCACACGGCGCCGGCCGCCGTGAACCTGGAGCTGGTCGTCACGGCGCCCGCCGGCGAGGCCGGCCACGCGGCCGAGTCGGGCCCCGGCACCGTCGCCGACGCCGACGCCGACGCCGAGCTCGGCGCCGACCCGGCCGGCGGCGACAACGTGCTGAAGCCGTCCAACATCAAGCGCACGTGCACACAGTGCAAGCTGGTGTTCGCCACGAACAGGGAGCTGCTTGGACCACCACAAGGAGCATCAGACGGTCAGTGTGGCTGCTGGCGCCGGCGGTCGGGTCCGGCCGCTGACGACCGGGCGTGGCCCGCGTGACTCGGAAGGACGGTGACTGCCTCGCGGTGGCTGTGGGGTAAAGCAGACGCGGGATAGTATACGTTGTCGTATGCTTCCACGCGGCAGGCATGGCGGCGTCCGGAAACGGCGTCGGAAGTGCAGTCACTGTCGTCCCTGTGATGGACGACGTTTGTGGCGTGGGCCGGGCTGCCGCGCCCCGGCGGTGCCTGGTTTACACACGTGACATAGCTCCTGACCCCTGCCCAGCGCACGCCGTGTTTCTGTGTTCTCTGCTATGATCGGCGTGAGAGATGGTGACTATGGCTAACGACTAAAGCATGGCCTGCGTCCTGAAATCAACCGAACACGCTGCCGAAGTGAGAACTTTGACCAGCTGTCGTCCAATGCTGCCCTACATCGGTAGCGCGGTCCCGGGGGCTGTACGTGGACCGGCGGTGTGTGACGGCCGGCTGGCGCCCTCCCGCAGATCCGGTCCATACTGAAGCTGCAGCAGCAGCGGCGACGGACTAAGCCGAGCTCGCGGCCCAGCACGCGCTGCCAGATCTGCCAGAAGTCGTTCGCCAAGCCGGGCCTGCTGCGCCGCCACCAGCTGATCCACACCGGCGAGAAGCCGTTCAAGGTGAGAGACGGCTCTCTGGGCTGCGATTGGCTGGCCTCGGGTGGAAGCACTGGCGTAGCAAGGCAGCTTCGCGGAGCGCTCGAGCAGCCGGCAACGCCATCCGCACCACCTCACAAGGTCTTCATTGGTGACCAGACGTACAGCTGGCGTCCAAAACATACGTGTTTTTCGTTTGGCATCGACTGGCTTGTCCAGGCTCAGTTGCAGGGAGCGCTACTCTAGGTCCAGGCTCATTTGAAGGGCGCTACTCTAACGTGCCCCCTACACTCCCCTCCCCAGTAACACGTCCCCGCCGCACCCCCCAGTGCGAAATCTGCGACCGCGCCTTCAACCAGAAGAGTGCGCTCAAGATCCACCGCGAGTCGAAGCACGGCAAGATCCGGCCCTACCAGTGCACCATCTGCAAGATGTTCTTCGCGCAGCGCGGCAACCTGCGCAACCACGTGCGCCGCGTACACAACCTGAGCGAGGCGCGCGAGCGGATCTTCAAGTGCGAGCACTGCGGCTGCGGCTTCGCCACCAGCGGCGTGCTCGGCAGTCACATCAGCAAGATGCACGATCCGCCGAGCAACACCGGGATGAGCGCCGACGCGCTGCGCGACCTGGTCCGCCAGCTGCTCGACTACTCGGCCGGCAACGCTGCGGCGCGCGACCGCATCCAGGCGCAGATCCAGGAGATCGCGCGCTCCGGCGTCGTGCCCGACTGCGTGCTGCCGGCGGCCGAGGGTGCGGGCGAGGCGGCGGCGGCCGCGGACGGCGGCGCGCCGCCCGACAGCGCCGTGCAGGCGGCGCCAGGCCCGAAGGCGGCGGCTCCGCAGCGCACCGACCCGCCGCCGCCGCCGCCACCGCCGCCGCTGCCGCCGGTACCGCCGCCGGTGCCGCCGCCGCGCGCCGGAGAGCCCACACGCGACAAGCGACCGGCAATCATCACCGTCGTGGACAAGATGGTGCAGGGCCGCGAGCGCAAGCATCTGGTGCGTGTGCGCTACGAGGGCCGGCTGCGCTGGTTCCAGTGTCTGTTCTGCGCCAAGGAGTTCCGCAAGCCGTACGACTTGGTGCGCCACCTGCGCATCCACACCAAGGACAAGCCGTTCCGGGTGAGTGTCAGCCGACTGAGTTCTTGCTGAGGATTATGCGGCAGCTGTTGCGGTCTTTGGTGTTCTGAGTGACGTTAGATGCATCCCCGGCGGCGCCCATTGTTTGATTGGAATTTAACGCATTTAGGTCATGACCAGTAACTTGCTTCTGTTTCCCTCAACTGTGCGCGTGGACCGAGCCAAGTCCTCCCCGTGGTTGCCCGTCCCCACGTCCCCACGGGTGACCAATTGGTGACCGAGTCCCCGACGGACGGTTGTATGTGGCGCTGGCGCCGGGCCGGGCGGCGTGCCGGGCCGGCGGCGTCCCCGAGATTGACTGACGCCTCGTGGCCGGCCGGCAGTGTCCGCAGTGCTTCCGCCAGTTCACTGTCCGCTCCGGTCTGGAGTCGCACCTGCGTGCCCACCGCGGAATCAAGCTGGCCAGCTGCCCCATCTGCCACAAAAAGTTCTCCACCGCCGGCGTGCTCAAGGTCCACCTGAGGTCAGTGATAGCAGCTGCCCTGGAGTCACCCCTGGCTAGTGCTGGGTCCAGCTCCACCTCGTCATTATTGATATCTGGTCTGGTGGAGGTCGATCAAAAGGCTGTCGTGGCCGGTCCAGTTTGCTGGCAAAGGGGGCCAGAGGTCTCCCGCAGTTCAGCGGGGTTTTTGTCACTTCGGTTCGGCGGAGAGCGGGCTGTGTACCACACCACTGGGAGCGCTATTGGTGGCCATCGCAGTGAGTTGGGGTGTCGCTCTAGGCCGTCGGCCACACGGACCCAGTCATAGCGTGGCAGACGGCACGGGTCGACGTGTCAGCTGTCTGAGCAGGTGGCTCCTGACCATCAGCTGCAGTGCTTGTGTCGCCGGCCGGCCGGGTCCGTTCCGACCGCGCGGCAGCGGGCCGGCGGGCGGTGGTGTCGCGGCGCCGGCGTCTGACGGCCGGCCGTTGCAGGCTGCACACGGGCGCCAAGCCGTACCACTGCCAGTACTGTGAGAAGCAGTGCCGCACGCTGGGCCAGATTCAGGCGCACGAGGCGGCCCACCGACGGACCCGCACCGACGCTACACGTGAGCGAGGGGGGGGGGGAAGCCGGCCGCGCCGCTGCGCCGGCTGGTGGTGCCCGTCTCAGGGTTACCAAACGTGCCACATCTCGCGATACGACGGCTTTGTCGGCTTAGTTGGGACAGTGGGTACACGGCAAATGTATGGGTGGCTAGCAGTTAAAATAGTACGTCGAAGCGGATAGTTAATTTTGGCTGGATGCAGCGAAAGCTTGGGCATACAACACCGTTTTTGTTCACTGTGCTGCAGTGTGTCTTTTTGAATTATTGCGATGGTACCCAGATGAAGTCTATCGGCATTGTGCCGCGCGCCGGGATGTCTTGCAGGCTTGACCCTCACAACCGTGCATTGAAAGAGGGCGGTTAGAGCCTGGCTACCGGTGTACGTAGCGTTTGGTCGCTGGCTCTGTCCATCGAGCAGCCACTCAGCGACCTATGTGACGTCACCCGCGCGAGCGGCGGCGTCGGTGCTGACGGTCCTCGTGCGGCAGGTGACGACGGTGACGACGCTGACGAGAGGAAGAGGGCGTCGCCGGACAGTGGGCCGGAGGTGCGACTACAGCCGCCCATCCTCATCACCAGCAGCGGTGAGGCAGCTGGCGCCGGCGGCTGGCGGCCGGCGGCGCGCGCCGGTCTCGGCGTCAGCTCCGGAGTCTAGCCGGCGCTCGGGGGCCGCGTAGAGAGCTTCCACACTCTCAGCCAAAACGGGACAGATGCCTGGTTTGCGTGCGGCGGTGACGCGTGTGTGCAACATACACGACACGTGGTGCGCGATACCGATACCGTTGATTTAGCCTGGTGGTGAGCCGTTCAGCAACCGTGCAACCGTTCAGCTCCATTGCCCTCCGCGGCTGCTATTGCAAGAAACGCCGTGCGTGGGCCGTGTGGTGGCTCTGCGCCGCTCCGCCTGTTCCTAACAGCCCCGTACGGTGTGTGTTGGTCAGGTATGGTGCAGGTGGACCGTCCGCGACGTATTGAGATCCCCGAGGGCGACGAGGCGCCGGACCGGCCGCACCGCTGCACCCAGTGTCGCGCCGCCTTCAAGAAGGTCTCCCACCTGAAGCAGCACATGCGCTGGCACACGGGCGAGAAACCGCACCACTGCCCCATGTGCAACAAGTCAGTGACGCTCCGACGACCCCGACCGACCCGACTCCTGTCCCCTGGGTCGTTGGCGGATCGTTAGTCAGAATCACTCCTGCTGACCCAGGGTTTCACTCGGACTGAGCTCTGTTGGTGCTCAGTGACGTCTCCCGTGAAATTGGCATTTTAATGCATGTGCGGCTGCAGGTCAGCTGTTGACAACTGTTTTCTAGCTGACAGGATGTTAAGTTGCCTATACGCTGCCTTAGGCACTAACAACTGTGGGGCGAAATGACTATCGCAGTCGGCGCAGCCTAAAATCCCAAGCATCATCATCACAGTGGGATGCCGTTTAGACGTGTATTCCGCACACAAGACGGGCGGTAAGCTGCACCTGCTACGTACACTGCTACGTAATCGCCGCGGGGCGCCTGATCTGCCCGTGCGCTTCTGACCCGACCCGTCCGCTGGCTGCCGGGCGGCGCCGTGTTGACGTGCGCCAACGGCTCTGTCGACAGGAGCTTCATGACGTCCAGCGTGCTGGCCACACATTTGCGGACGCATACTGGCGCGCGCCTCTTCAAGTGCCCCATCTGCTCGCACGCCTTCACCACCAAGAGCAGCATGACCCGACACATGACCACCCACCCAGGTAAAGTAGGGCCGCCCCCGCCCGCGGCTCACGCCCTCTGGCCGACACAGGATATGTGTGCGCGTTGCGTAATAGTATGTATGATTGATAGAATGACAACTACATATGCAAGGAAATCGAGGAGTAAGAGGTAGGATGCAGAGTGAGCGGAATAGTCGCTGCATATTGTTACGGGTAGGGCGAATGTAGTTGTTTGTAGTGATGACATGCATATTCGGCAGAATAGTAATTGTATGGAGTTTAGGAACCACATCGTTTTCCTTGCGGGCGTAAATTCTCAACGTATTCTTGTGCAGGTCTTGAAGACTAGAAGTTGGGAGTCTCGTTCAGGTTGACACCATTGGTAGCCCCACTTCGCGATCTCCCAATGCTCTCAACAGATTGTTTCACGAGTGGCCGCGTCGCAAACAGATCGCAAGTTTTGCTCTGGGGACGGTTTGAAAAATTATCGGTCATCATGACGCTTGCGAGACAAATGAGAGGCGGCTACGGATCGTATTGAGGACTTACCATACATCTAGTTGTGTGAAGGGATGCTGGGTTCACATAACCGATTCCTTCCGACCGGCTAGCACGAAAACACGCGCCCTGATCGTGTGGTCTCGTGCGCAGGAGCGGCCGTACATGTGCCCGTACTGCCAGCGCCGCTTCAAGACCCGCATGATCTGCAAGAAGCACACGCGCTGTCACAAGTTCGAGATAGCCAACAGCAACGTTCTGGTGAGCCCTCGGCGGGGGACGGCGGCAGGGCGCGGGCGCCGCGCTTCAAGGCGCCCCTGTCCGCCAGCTTTGAAGACGTGTTTCAGGGTGGCGGTCTGTGCGTGGAATATTCGGTTGTGCGGGAAAGTGAGTCTCGTAACCTGAAGGTCGTAGATCGTCGTTCGGCTGTCATTGGCTGTGATAGTTTAGTTATCAGCATCAGATAAAGTTGTTAAATGGTCAACAATAGGTAGGGGTGATTGTTCGGCATTGATATGCAAGTACGGGAGGTATTTACCCTATCACCGACATACACGGCTGTCGCTCAGCGGCCGCAGTCAGTGACTAAGGCTGTCCGCGCGCCTGCACCAGGTAAAGTTACCAACGGTCATTACCTAGCGAGGAGGCCCTCTCGTCATTAGCAGCCAAGCTTTCCCAGCCTCACTGACAGATCGGGTGGCTGCAACAGCGGGGCCGTTGTCTGGCCAATCAGCTGTAGCTGGATTGCTCGACTGCGGATAGATTGTCCGTCTGTGTCGGTGGCGGCGCGCTCAGGCCGGCTCATCGCCTTTGTCTGCAGCAAAACCAGCTGTCGGGCGGCCTGTTCACGGACCTGATGACGCCTGAGGAGGAGCCGCTGCTGTCGGACGCCGCCTACACCACGCGCGCGCAGAACGTCAGCGTCATCCTGGACGAGCATGGCCAGATGGTGCAATGTGAGTGCGCCGCCGCCGGCGCCGCGCGCCACGCCTGGTGGGCCGGCAGCCACGGCCTGCGGCGGGCGTGCCGTACACCCTCCTTCCGCCGCGCCGTGCTCGCCGCCGCCCGCTGGGGTGGGTGTGTGTTGTGTGTGTGTCTCATGAATGTCGTGAGGTACTGCGAGCTATCCCGACAAGCCATGTCGCCGTGCTGTCGGCTGTTTGGGCGTCCCCGTGAGTGACGCGCGGCCCTGTGACCGGCGATCTCCTCACCGGTCCGGCGCCGCTGCGTACGCCACCTGCGTTGTCGCGCTGTCCCTGTGGTGACGCGTCGGCGCGCGGCCGGCAGGCGAGCTGGCGGCTCCGGAGCTGCCCCCGCTGACGGCGGACGCCTCGGGCACCGTCACCATCGGCGGCGACCACGGCACCCGGCCCGTCTCACAGGTCTGGACTGGGACTGTGACTGGGACTGGAACTGAGACTGGACTGGACCGCCGAGCGGATCCGATGCGCCCATTGACGTGTGGTCAATGGCGTTGTTTCAACCGGTGTTCGTCGGCATCTGTGTTTGCACGCGAGATGAGCGGCTCGTAAATCTAATCAGTGTGGCGTCGCAGAGTGTAGTCCCAGGTCAACTGTCTATCGCCCGAACGCTGGGGCAGCTTGGTTCGTTCGGCGTGTCAACTATATGACCGATGCAGTCGCTGGCGCTTCACACAAGGGGCGTGGAAAACAGCTGCCAGCCAGTGCGTAGTTGGACGTGAGAGCGTGTGCGGTGCACTGACGGCCGGCGGCGGTGCTCACGCGCGCAGGACGGCCTGGCTCAGCTGGAGACGGCGCTGAAGCAGCAGCTGTTCCCTGCCTCGGAACTGGCGGCCGGCCTGTCGCAGGTCAAGGCCGACATGTCGGCGGAGCACCGACTGATGCTGGCCAACATCGCCGCCATCGCCGCCACGCCGCGAGTCACCAGGTACCGCGCGCCGCGTCGCGCCGCGCCGCTCTGGTCGGACCGGCCGCGCGCGGGGTGGGGCCGTGTTAGACTGCGCGCAGGTGGGCCGGTTTGGGAGAAAGCGTCACAGACGCTGGCGATGAGCGACTGCTTCAAGTGGAAGGGGAAAGCTGGTAACGCTCGTTAAACCAGACATAGGATAATTTGATTATATAGTGAGAGCAATCGGTCGTTAGCGCTGGTACAACCTTCACATCACTGTGCGGGAGCGTTGTCGCCTCGCCACTGAGGGCGTGACCACTGGGCGCGGGCGACCCTCCGCCACCCGCCAACCACGAGGGTTAAGGAGTGTGACTGTGAACTATGCAAGACTCTTCGCCTCTGCGAGCGCGCGCCGGCTGAAGACGCGTGAGCGCTGGGTGACGTCACTTGAGCACCGTGTGACGTCACCTGAGCGCCGCCTGCCCTGCAGCGCTAGGTGCGGAGGAGCGCGGCTGCCGGGCGGCCGTGGACCGGGCGGCGGCCACCGCTGTCCCGAGCCCGACTCCGAAGACGAGTGCTGCGCCTGCGCAACGAGCAGGACGGCCAGATGATCCTCGAGATGGACTCCGACAACGTGCTGCTGCAGGTGCGGGCGGGCTCCGCCGCTGGGCTCGGCCCGGCCGGCGCCGGGCGTGGGTGGGCCGGCCGGCGGCCTGCCGCGATATATTAGACGGAGTGAGGTGTCCGGACCAACCGTGCGTGTGGTTCGGGTGAGGTCCGCTCATCGTAACTGGCGCAGCACCAACATAAACACAAGCGCTGATAGAGCAGTCGTGACTCTGACGTCACTGCGAGCGGGCATGGCATACGTGTATGCCACATCATTGACAAACACCGCCTCGTGTCCAGGTGATGTTGGTCACTTTGGAACGGCCGGCGTGCGCTGCCGGGTAGCAGCGCATGTCGGCATACACGTGTGGTGGGTGTTGCCGTACAGCCTCCTGTGAAGGAACGCGTGCAGCTGGCGCCGCCGCGGCCGCCTGACGCGTCGCTCCGTTTCAGGACCCGTCGCTCTCACAGCCGCTGATCCACCGCTGCCGCGTCTGCAAGCAGCTGTTCAACACGCAGCTGGCACTGGCGGTGAGCGCGGGTGGACGGTGTCTCCAGAGCGCGCCGGGCGCCGGGAGTGTGCCGCATCGGCCCCCGGGCCCGCAGGCGTGGCGTCTGGCCGGGGCGGATATGGCTGATGGGTATGGCGTCGACGGGCGCGACTGGCTGCTTGGAGTAAGCGCGATGTGGTGGACGGGTGCCGTGTGGTTTGGCAACGCGGAATCAGGCGGTCTGGAGAGCCCGACCATGCATTGCGGGACAGTGCAGGATCCGAGCGGCGACGGTCGTGATGCCGTGGGGTGGACCCTCGCATTTGGTGACCTTGGTACGCGCGAATGTCCCGCGGGTTAATGAGCTACGCCCTGGACGGGCTCCATCCCTGGATTGCGTGCTCTATGCTCTATGCAGCGCGCCCCTGCGACCGGGCCGCCCATCTCGGTCACCGACCGGCGTGACCTGACCCGTCCGTGTCCGCAGACGCATGAGGCGAGCCACGCGTGGAGTTCCAGCCGGCGGCCGCCGCGGCCCACCTCTGCGACCGCTGTCTGATCGTGTTCAGCACGGCCGAGCAGCTGGCCGAGCACAGTGTCACGCACGATCCGCCGCCGCCACCGCCTCCTCCTCCCCCCCGCCGCCACCGCCGCCTCCCCCGCCGCCGCCGCCACCGCCGCCGCCCCTCCTCCACCTCAGCGCACGCAGCCGGAGACGGGCGGTCACGCCTGCCAGCGGTGCAGCAGTCGCTTCCTCACGCCGACGGCGCTGCGGAAGCACGTGGCGCGCGAGCACGGCCGCGGCAAGAGCAAAGCCAAGGTGAGTGGGTCGCCCGCTGGAGAGAGGAGCCGTCGGCTGGGTGTACCGGCATTTTTGTCTGCACCCCCGCATCCGGCTACAGAACGTGGTCCTCTGTACACTGCCCGGGTGGTGTGTGATTTTCTCCAATGCTTCGGTCGGCGATCGGACCGGTACCATGTGACTTCCTGCCGTACCGTGTCCTGTGACTGCTGCACAGTGTCGATCGGCGAGGCCCGGCCGTGCGTCCGTCCGTGGGTCGGTGGCCGGGCTCGCGCGGCGGCGTCTCGGAGACGGCGGCTGACGCGCGCGCGCCGTTGCAGTCGGTGATCCGGCTGAGTGACAAGGTGACGGCGCGGCTGGCCGAGCAGCCGCTGACGGCCGGCCGCTCACACTCGGAGACCTGCCTCATCCAGTCGGCCGTCGAGAAGATGCAGAACGGGCCGACCCAGGTGAGCTGGCGGGGGCGCGCTGACGAGGCCGGCTGATGGCTGACGAGGACCGGCGCCGCCCCGCCGACGAGGCACGACGGCGGCGCAGCGATTCTGGGGCAACAACAGCTGATCGACAGCTGTGAGTCGCACGCCGCTGAACAGTTGTTTCATCACGTCAGCTCAGCGGCTGCTGCTGAGCTTTTGGCACGATGGCGTTTTCTGAGTTGACTTGGATAAGCCCGTCCACTAAGACTTACGGAAATGACGGGGAAGTTTCTCAGAATCAACGGGATATGCTCAGTATTTCCGACATTTCATTCGCTGTCATTACAAAGCATGAATTGCGTGGACTTCAATAGCAGTCCAAGACGCTGGGATCTCCATAGCAAAGATTCGGCGCGAGCAAATTTGTTATGGTCGCCTGGACTTCATACCGTGCCACGGCTGTGAGAACGCAGCGGATTATGCATTTTGAACATTACATCGATTTGGGCACGAGTGATATATTAATTAATAGTGATTGCGTGCGAATGAGGCTACGTTTTCCAATCCCTAAGTGCGATGGTGCAGTCGATCTGTAGAACGGTGTCGACCTGCTAGATATCAGAGGAACGTCGGGCAGCGATCATGCCGCACTTTGCACGCTGCCGCGTGTCGGTGGTGCCCGGCAGCTCTCGCGCGCTGACCCTGGGCCTGACGCGTGCGCGCGGTCCCAGCGCTCGGAGCCGGAGAGCACGGAGGGCCTGAAGCACCAGCTGCGAGACCTGCAGCAAGACTTTTCCGCAAGCCCTCCACCTGGTCGGCCACAATGCGCATCCACACCGGCGAGAACCCTACCTGTGCGAGCTGTGCTTCAAACGGTGAGAGCTTGAGCGGCGGCAGCGGGCCGGCAGCGGCTCCGGCGCCCCGCCCCTGGCACGGACGGGGCTGGTTGGCACGGGCTCCGCCGTCGGCGACTGCTGACCGATGTGTTCGACGGCAATCTGGAAAGCCCTGCTAACGAGCCGCTCTTAACATGCGTGTGGCAGGTAGCAAAATACTGCCACTGCCGGACTGCGCCCCGTTTTGACTGCCAGGCGTTGCTTGTCGCGAGCGCAGAGGAGGTGTCAGGTCCGCGCTGGGACACCTCTTTGGGACAGACGTCACCGCCGGTTCCGACGTGCGCCCTCGCCCCGCTCCCGCCCCGCCCCGCCCCGCCCCCGCCCGCCCCCGCCCCGTTGTCGGCTACCGACCCGCCCCTGACCCCCGCTCCCCGACTGCGGCGCTTCACCGTCAAGTCGACCCTGCTCGGACACCTGAAGACGCACACGGGCGAGCGCAACTTCGAGTGTCTGGTGTGCAAGGCGCGCTTCGCCACCAGTGCTCGCTGAATGTGCACTCGCGCCTGCACACGGACACGCGCCGTACCAGTGCGAGGTGTGCCGCCGCTGGTTCCGCACCTCCGGCCACCGGCGCATCCACATGGCTTCTCCACGAGGGCCCGTCGCGGCGGGACTGCCGCCTCGGTCGCCGCCGCCTCCGCCGCGCTGCTGCTACGCTACCCGCCGCCGCCGCCGCCGCCGCCGGGCCGCCGCCCCGCCCGCGCGCCGCCGCCGCTAACCGTCCCCGCACCGTCCGCCGACCCTCTTAAGCTTCAACTGCAGGTGAGGCGGTGTGTACGCGGTCGCCCAGACCTGTCGGACGCACAGATCTGGCGACCCTCGCAGCTTGGCGGTGCCGCGGTTAAAACAGGGTCGGCGTGGATGTGTTCCTTTTGTGAACCTCTGGGAGTTCTTTTAAGGATATGACGGGTTTTTGGACACTGTCGAATTTGCCGAGTTTCTATGTATTTGCCATGTTGGTGTGGAACAGCGAAACGTTTTGCGTGCGGTGGGCTTCAGTTTCTTGTACCCTGGTGTGTTGATATCTCTCGTGGTCCTTCTTCGTCGTCCTTGTGGCCCTGTGCCACTAGTGTGCCACTTGTGGCCCTTCGGGGCCATCTTCAGCCGTGCCATGGTGTGTTGCAGGGTATGCTAAAGGAGCTGGAGGCTGGCGATGGTGACCGTGCTGGCGGCGGCGAGCCGCAGCTGCCGCCACCGGCCGACGGCGGCGCGGCGCTGCAGCTGGAGCCGCGCTGGCGCAGCAGCTGCAGCGTGGTACTGTCGGCGCCCGCGACCAGGTGCCGTCCGGCACACCGAGCTGCGTGTCCAGCTGCGATCGACGCCGAGGTCGCATTGTCGGCGTAGAGGCGCTGCAGCCGGCGCCGGGGCTGGCCTTCGAGGCCCGGCGCCGCCACCTCCTCCCCCGCCGCCGCCTCCGCCGCCGCCGCCGCCCCCCGCCGCAGCCTCCGGCGGTGAGCGGACGACAGAGCACGCGCCACTGCAGGCGGTGGTGGCGGACGCGCTGGTCGAGGGCGAGTCACCTGCTCCGAGTGTCCGCGCTCGTTCCGACGGGGAAGCAGCTGGCGCGCCACCTGCGCACGCACGGTCTGCAGCCGGCGGCCGGCAGCGGCGCGCACGCCTGCTTTCGCCTGCCCGGCCGTGTTCAGCAAGCCGTCGTTGCTGGCGCGGCCACGTGCGCACGCACACCGCGAGCGTCCCTTCCAGTGCACCCACTGCGACCGCCGCTTCCGCAGAAGAACGCGCTGGTGGCGCACCGGCGCACGCACGAGGGCGACCGGCCGTTCGACTGTCCGTTTTCATGCGAGCACCGGTTCGCGCCAACGCGGCAACATGCACGCACATCCGCGCGCGCACCTGAAGAGGGCGC